AAGAAAACAGAAACTAAATAAGAAACAGTTCCACCTTCTCTCTGTTGTCAGATATCATCATCCCATCCATGCTTAGCTTTGGTCTTTTTCTTCTCTGATCCTCTCCCTTCCCCCCATAAAGCTAAAGAAGCAAAGAATTAAAAACAAAGAAGAATATCCTTTTTGGTGGTCCTTAGTTTCCCTTGTCAACTTCAGTTCATTCTGAGTTTTAGCAATCCTGATCTTTTTTTTAAGGTTCATGTCAATTTTGCTACATACTCTCTTGTCAACATCCGATTACCTCTCCTTGCTTCCATCTTCTTCATATATCCTTTCAAAATTTAAAATGACAGGTGAATCTTCTAAGATCTATATTGGTCTCTGCAGCAACTCCCATTTTCCTCTTCATCAGAAATTTTCCCCATATGATTTTAGAATTTCATTTTTGAGAACTCCCTATGCCTTCTCAACTGACTTCTCCCATATAATTTCAGTCTGTAGAAGCTTACCTTTCCCCCAAATCCCCTGAAATCTACTATCCTAAAATCTGTAAGTTAAATTAAACTATGTCTGCTATCCACTCCTATGTATCACAAAGTCTAGGAGGGAGTGGCCACTTTACCCTTAAGTTCCCATCAGTTCCACCTCATCGGTCTTCTCCAATTATTGAGAAACTGATCCAGAATAGAACTCCCCTTTCTTGTTCCTTCAACATGGGAAGGATGACATTGTCATTAAAGCAAGTTAGGAAGTTGTTTGTTATTATGCTTTTGGCTAAGAGAGACAGACAAAAGGACAGACAAGAAAGAGAGAGCTTACTCCACATGACTACCATGTTGTACCTCTGTGCAAGGCTTTGAAATCTGTTAATATTTTACAGGTAATTAAAAATGTTCAGCTCCTAAGTATTGAACCAATCTCAGTCATTGGGGTTAATTGACTGCTCCCAGACTCCTTTATTGTCCCATTTTTATTATACCAACATCTATTGTATCAGAAATATTGAGTTAAATCTGTATCTGTCCACTCATCTCACTCCTACCTTTGAACCATTTTCAAGATGACATATACCTGGAATGTTCTTGGCTCTTCTGTCCATCTCTCTCCCACCTCTTCTAAGCAGTCTAGAAAGGTTTCAGGTGCTTGAAGTCATTTTTTTCAGTAATTGATGGTGATAGATTTACACTTCATTCACACTCCTGCCCCATGCTCATCGCCAAAGGCACACATCTGGGAGACAACTGGCTGAGGCAAAAGTGTCAGACTTTGGCCAGGGAAAAGAATGAGGTTAACTGGCCCATGCTGAACTCTGGTCTTTGACCTTACTCTAATAAGGCTGAAGCCACACTTGCCAATCAGCCACAGACAAAAATCACTTTCCCAAGGCTACACAAATAAGGCATATATTTATTTAGTCTCGAGACTCCAAAAAGATGGTGTTGCTAAGGAAAGGGTAAAAGAGAAATACTTAACAAGCAGTTGACCCTCCATGTTTTTCCAGGATACTTTTAGCATCTCTTCTACATTCTGTGTGGGAAGGGGGTAGACTGTACATTCTTCCAGTGGAGCCTAGACAGGGGTAGGCTGGTAAATATTTAGCAACCACTTCTTTGAGTAAAAAAGAAGTACAATCAAATTTTAAAGTTTAATCTGCATTATTAACACTTCTTTAGGTGTAGGTAATCAATAAAACAATAAATCAAGCCCTGATTTGTAGCATTTGTCAATTTCCAAGGTATAAATTCTCACACTGATAATTTAATAATCAGCTCTCAGTTTGAGCTGGTTCCAGCCCATTCTGGAGACTAGGATGTTCTCCATTCCTGAAATATTGCCACCAAAGCTTCTAGTACTGGATGAAAGAAATGGTTCCAGAGATGCATTTTCCCAAATCAAATCAAATTTTCTCCAAATCAAAATGTATGGAGAACATCTTTGTAGATGAGAAGACACTTGCTTTGATGCTTCTCTGCAGGTTAAAGAACAAACGATGTTATACCACTAACTAAAAAAAAAAAATTAAATACTATTTTTCAAGGCTTTTGGATCCCTGGCATTTTACAGTTATTTCATCATGATATAAGTTGGCATTATATAAAAAGGCTCACAATTATTATGCTCCTGTTTATAAAAAGGATCTGTTAATAAATACATTATTTATACAGGAACTAACTACCTTGAGTTGTTTAGTATCTAAAGCATTTTTGTTAATTTCTCTTTAACAAGTATCAGCACTGATGTTCACATTTAAATTTTACAAAATTATAGTAGGAGCTATTAAAATCTTGTGTATCCAAGAATTTCTAATCTCTTATTTAAAGAGGGCACATTTCAATATGCTTCTGGTAATGGAAGAAAGTCTAAGTTGAATCTTATGGCTACAAAAAGCAATGCTCAATTTTGACATTTTAGCTCTTAGCAAGATCTGTGTGAATACTGATATGGTTAAAAGATATTAGAGGGAAATGGAGAGTTTACAATCCATAGTGGCATCACTGTCATTATCTATAAAGCTAAAAGAAAAAAAAAGTAACACTTCTGGTCCAACTGACCCAATGAGATATCTGGTATTACAATAGAGTTTTAACTTCTGATTCTACCTCAGATTTAGGAAAAAGGGAAAAGGACCAGAAAGGCATTCACTTTATAGGTCTTTCATCAGTAGTCACTCAAGCGACTAACAGATAAAATGAGTGGTACTTGAATGACTTCAATAGTCCTACTAGAATGAACAGGAAATATAGTAAACAATTCCTCTTCCTGCTTTGTTGTACCAAAAGTGTTGTGGGAAGAAAAAAGCTTCAACTAAAGAACAAATGACATATTGACAGTATTCATTTTCTCACTTTAAGAGAGCTGGGTACCACTATGGCCAGAGAAAGCAAATCACCACTACCACCACCCCAAGCTTCAAAGGTAAGCTTCACAAAATTTGTAAAAGATTCAACTCTTTTTTACGGTGATTCCTCTCTTTAAAAAAGGAAAGAGAAAATAAAAAATAAGAGAGGAGGGGGAGGACAGGACAGAACAGGATAAGAAAAGGCAAGACAAGACAGGGCAGGAAAAGAGAAGACACGAGAGAGGAAAGGAAAGCGCTAAACTGGAAAGCAAAGAGAAAGGGAGAAAGGCAAGACAGGAAATCACTCCCAAAAGGTTTCAAAATGAATAAGAATTAACAAACCACAAAGCAATAACTCTTTTTGACAAATAACTAATCAGTCCAAATGAGATTCAAATTTTCACATTACTTCCCTTAAAAAGTATTCACAGTTTCAGAGTTACTTGGGAACTAATATTTATACCAAATAGTCATAGGACCCTAGAGCTAGAAGTTACCTCAGAGGCCTTCTCTCACCCCCTCATTTTACAGATGTTTTACTGATCAGTCAAAATTATTTCTATGCCTATTTTTTTTCTGAAAGGTTTCCAGAAATAATGTTACTAGACTAAACTGAACAACAGAAGGATAATAGCACCCTGGTCTGGAGGACCTGATCCATTGGCTAGGTCCATGCATTACTGTTTAGTCCAGACACTAGATCAGCCTAAGAAATGATCCAGGAAGTCAAGCACTCCCTCGAATTATATCTGATTCGAGCTGCTCCAGATTGTAACATTCACTGGCAGCTCACCCTATCCAGGCCACTCCCCAGGTTGCTGGCCCAGAAAGAAAAAATAAACTTTTCCCTAGTGGCATCATTCATTCCAGTATGTGTCCTGATGTGTTATTTCCTTCCATAAACCACACCAAAGAACCATAGACTTAGAGGTTATCTAGTCTGCCCCCATTGTTTTATGGCAGGGAAACTGAGGCCCAAAGAAACTTGTATGAAAGATCATACAAGTAGTTAGTGGCAGAGCCAAGGTTTAAGCCCAGGTTCTCTGACTTCAAGCCCAATGAAAGTTCTTTCCAATGTACTATACGATTTCCTATGAGGACTATTTATTTTCCTAACAGGCTGAAAGGTTGCCATTTACTGATGAGATTTGATAGCTCCTGTCCTTTAATCTTAAACTTCCAGGCCACTAAGATTTTTGAAAAAAGTTATTGAAAAATCCAACAGTTGCCACTGCAGTGATAGTGTGATTGCTAAAGTCATTTCTACACTGTCATATATAACCTGATGCTTTTGATTATGTAATTTTATTTTTAAAAATTGACTGGACTTGTCCTATTCCCAGAACATAGGTTAAATTTTCTGGCTTCAATGCTTCTACTCCTGCTATCTTTATCACCTGGAGGGCCCTGCCCATCCATTTTGGATTGTGGAAATACTATTATCCTTTAGGGGCAGGTTTCATATCAACTTCTTCACGAAGTCTTTCCTCATACTCTTCAATGAGAAGCAACTCCAGTGGCCATGTCTGTAGCTCTCTTATGGCAGTCATCACATTCTATAACTTCCATTCTAGGTATCTGTGCATATGTTTGATCCTCGCTTCCAGACTGTAGACTCCTTAAGAGAAGAACGAAAGAAAGAAAGAAAGAAAGAAAGAGAGGAGAGAGGAAGGGAAGGATGAAGAAAGGAAGGAAGAGAGGAAGGAGAGAGGAAGGAAGAGAAAGAGGGAGAGAAAAAGGAAGAGAGGGAGGGATAGAGGGAAGGGAGGAAGGAAGGAAGGTAGGAAGGAAAGAAAGAAGGAAGGAAGAAAAGGAAGGAAGGAAGGAAGGAAGGAAGGAAGGAAAGTTACCTCAGAGGCCACCTCTCATCCCTTCATTTTACAGATTATTGATCAGTCAAAATTATTTCTATGAAAGGAAGGAAGAAAGAAAGAAAGGAAGTTCTGTACCCTTCCCGACCCCTAGACCAGTGCCTTCTGCTTAATTGCAGGAGGTCAACAAATGTTTGTTTGATTTGTTTTTTAAGTTCCCCATTTGTGCTAGGAGCTCCCAGAATGGAGAAGCAATGAAAGTAGGGAGGATCCTGAGGAACTTAGTGAGTAACAAGGACGCTTTTGATATAGAAAAAAATACTTTTAAAGCCATTTTTCAAAAACCATTTTCTTTATTTATACACAGCATGAAGTATGAACTTTTTTCTTGAAAAATAAGAGTTTATTTCAAACCTTTCCTCAAACTTAATGGAACAATATCTGAAGTAAAATCACAATAATGATTTGCTTCCTATCTGGAAATACTTTCACCAATTTGAGAATTTTTTTTTACCAGCATGGTTTAATATTTTAGCATGAATGTTATAGCTTTGGGGCAAAAATAATGAAGCTTAAAAGAAAATATTCATTTATTTAAATGGAATCTTTAACTACTTATTCCATTTTTGATATAGATTTTTTAAAAATCCAACTGCCTTTTCTCCCATATACTCCAATAAATGACTAATAAAGTCAAACAAGGTTCTTATTTTTTGTTCCTAAGATGATTAACCAAGTTGCCAAGATACCACTTCTCAATACATGAGTAATCATTAGCAAACATCCAATTACACCAGAACATATGATCAACTGATGTTTTAAATTCCATTTCTTCAAGACATGCACAGGGTGAGTTTCAAAGTGATCATTTCTAAAAATACTAGAATACTGACAGTTTTGAAGCTCCATAAACCATTGGCTTTGAAGAGAAATGTAAGCAAAGCACAAACAGTCCTAGTAGCTCCCGAGGAATGGCAACTCACATTACCAAACTAGCAAGCAAAAAGATACCACATCTTTAAATTAATTATATTCCAGCAACTTTTCAAATACATATTTCCTGATGTAAAACAGCACATTCATTTGATTCAGAATCTATGATCACTTGAGTTGTGATTATGACCATATGCTTCACCTTTAAGCTCTTGGTAACTAGAAACTACTTCGGCAAATTTGAAAGGTACTGTTATCCTAACATAGGATAGGAGATGGACTACACATGCAATCTCTTTGCTCTAGAGAACTCCCAGATGAGGGAACTCCCTCTACCAAAGAATGCCAACACATTCTCTTCAATTTAGAGTTGCCTAGAGCACTGAGAGAATTAAATGACTTGCCCAGGGCCACACAGCCAGTATATGTCACATTTGAACCCAGGCCTCAATGGCCAGTTCTCTATTCACTATACCACATGGCCTTTCATATATTATAGATAAGAGTAGTAAATTCAAAAACAGAATAAAATCCTTGCAATTATCAAAGTACTGTATGTCAAGGTAGGCCTTACTATCCTACTTTGGAACTGGCAATTAGATACAATTTTTACTAGAATCATACATAACAAGTAACAAAACACTTAAGTTCCTTCAATGTTGATGTGTTCACTGTCACTGTGCAGCTGAAGTTTTTGGACTAAAGCTGCCATATTTTCTTAGAATGATACTTGTAAAAATTAGTTTGCCTGATCCAAATTTCAGAATATGAATTAAATGTCTTAAATTAGACTTATGATTTAAGCATTCAGCTGTGATTTTTGTTTTTAAATTTTTAAATGACCAAAAAGGAAACTTTTTTATTATTTTTATTTGGTCTAGACCTGTAATTTCACTAGTTTAGCATAGGAACTCTCTCTACTCATGCAGAACTACAGATCATCTATAATTTATTGTGTTATTTGGAGATACTGAGAAGTTATGGCCTCATACCTAGTATGTGTTAGAGGCAAGACTCCAAAGCTGGCTTTCTATCTATTGTGTCCTATCCGTGTAATTTTATTATTAAAAAATGCTCTCAGAAAACAGAAAATCAGAAAGTGGTATTTTATGCACACTCAGGTTATTCAATTTAAAAAGGAGAAAAAATGCTTAATACAATGGACCTCTCTTCAATGTCAATATTTTTTTCCCTGTACCACATGAAACATTTTTCCAATTACTCTCAGGAAGGAAGTCTTTGATATCATTTTTATCCTTCAGGATATTGTCTTCTAAAAACATTTATCCTCTTAAGATTTAGAATCCAAATTATGGCATATGCCATCACTATGCCATAGAGAGTAATTAATTATTAACAGCCTTTACCTTAGCTAAACACAGGAATGACAACCTCATGTCAGGGCCTAAGTCTCTTTAGTGAACTTTTTCCTTTCCTGATCTAGTTCTGTTATATGGTGAAACACTTTTTACAGATGCTAAGCATGAAGTATTTAGTATACATTAGGGTCCAAACAATCTGTTTAATACATATGAATTCCCTTTATTTTGTCTTCAACAGGTCCAACAAAAATGTCTTTCTAATTTTGATGTCACCTAACTTTTTGCCGGTCAGCAAGGGTCTAACAGCTTTTCATTATTTTTGTCTACTAAAATTTGAACTTCAGGCAGAAAAACAAAAGTGGCCATTGCTTTTCATACAATTGGCCAATCTTCCTCCCAGGGTTGCTACAAAAAATTCATTCTGGTCCTGTTCATTTATTATTAGAATACTGACATTCCCTCTATATTCCAAATATGTGGTAGTTAACAGTACCAGTTCATAATAAAGTCTGGCTTCTTTTTAAACCCCTGCACATTCTTGGGGCCCTCGCTGTACATACCAACATTCCCCCACCAACATACCTAGAGGTTAATCTCTGGTGCCCCCTCATTTGCACAAAGGAAACTTGTCTTGCTTTTAAAGGTAAATTTGATTAATCTGATATAGGCTGCATTTACAACTAGTCCCATCAAGCAAAGAAAAAAAGGACTGAAGCAAGGGAAGCAGAGAAGACTTTGGGAAAGTATTAAAAGAATACTATCCTTCAGTCTATGGCAAGTCCTTATCTGGGAACCCTTATATGACCCCACCCTTACAGTCTTGTCCATATACCTACCTTCTTCCTCTTTCCCACACTCCCCCCTCAACTATTCTCCCAAAATGGCCCTTGGACCACAGGGAACCATGCACTCTGAGCCAGGGGATCTGACGATTGTCTCTGTTCCTCCTTCCCCTACAGTGCTCCAGGCTCCCCTTTGTCTGACCTCTCTGGCAGAGTGAGCACAAAGGGGAAGAGGACCCCTCGAGCATCAAAGGGGGCTTTGAGCTGCTCCTGCTCGAAGACGCCTTTCTGGCCTCCATCCTCACCAAGCTCCCCTTCTTCCGAAAGGCTGAAACGCCAGGCCCCGGCCCTATTCACGCAGTAGATTGTCCCATCTAGGGCAGCGCAGCGGAAAGGCTGTAGCCCGAAAGGCTCACCAGGCGGCCTCAGGTTCGAAGCGCATTGACTCCAACGCTTGGCAAGGCAATGGTAGCGGAACACGTTGACACCTCCACTACCACTGGCTGCTGAAGCTCCGGCCACTGCTTGAGGTTCCCCTCGCGCCCCGCACAGGTCAAATCGATAGATGAAGCCTTTGAGGGCCACCATGTCTGCAGAGCGCTTGCGGCTGCTGCTGCAAGGGCACTCCTGCCACTCGTCCCGCCGGGGGTCGTACTTGAGCAGGCGGTAGAAAAGAGAGCCGCCCGAGACGTAAATTTCTCCGTTGCACGTGGTGGCTTCGTGGGCCACAGCGAAGGCGCCCTTGGGCAGAGGAGCTACGGAGCTCCAGCGGTCCGCGCGGGGGTCGTAGCGCTCTACACTAAACAGACACTCGCCCCCCACAGCGTAGAGGTAGCCGTCCAGGGCCAGCAGCTTCAGCTGGGAACGGGGCTGGTTCAGGGACCGAACTGTGGTCCAAGTGTCAGTCACTGGGTTGTAGCAGAAGACCTTGTCTGACAGGCGAGCCCTCCCCTCGGGTCCCCCTTGCAGGATGCCCCCGGCCAGGAAGAGGTAGTTGTAGAGAACGCACATGGCACAGCCTTTGGCATTAGCCCCCTCAGGCAGCCGAGTTAGGACCTTCCACTGCTTGTCCGCCTCCTGGTAGTAATAGATGACCGAGTCACTGTGACCTCCCTCCTCCTCAGACGAACCCGGGGCTGGGGCTGGAGGCGGGGTAGGTGGCTGCTCCCCTGGAGACAAGACAGAGGCTGATGGACTCTGGGGCCTGCTGCTCTCCCGACTCTGGGGTCGGCTGCCCACCCGCTCAAAAACGTCATTGATCTCCGCCACCAGAAGGCAGCTGCGGCCGGCCTCCATCCTGCGCTGGAGGATGAGGTCTCTCTCGGAGCCCGTCAGGCGGCCGTAAACTGATGGCTCCCGCAGCACCTGGAGGTAGTGGTCGCTCATGAAGCGATAGGCAGCCTCCCGGAGCTCGCTGAGCCTCTGCTGCTTAGCCAGGCTCAGTACCTGATAGCAGTTGCTAAGGGTAAGCTGCGCCCGCATGGCGTCAGTGGCGCACTGCAGAGCGCAGGGCATCTGAAGGAAGCGCGCCCCGGCGATCACCTCGGCCACATTGTCCTGCTTCACTTCCCCCATCTGTCCAGTGTACAGGTAATCCACCAGAAGCCGCAATGCCGCGTAGCTCACCCCCTTCACCCGCAGGATCTCCCTAGACGAGCGCGCTCTGAAGTAGTCGCTCTTGGCAGCCAGCACTGACTTGTGCGCCTGGATGCGGCGTCCAGCCACCTCGATCACCAAGTCCGGCTCTTCTCCCAACGCGCCACCCGCTGGATCATTGCTCTGGCCAATGCTGCAGATGCCGCGGCGGCTGCTGCTGCTGCCGCCGCCGATGCTGCCGCCGCCTCCGCCCTCCTCCCCCACACCACTCTCCGGGTCCCCAAGCTGCAGCGGTTCCTTCCTGGGCTGAGCTCCAGTCTGGATACAATAAGTGACAGGCGGTGGCGGCGGCTGAGTTGCGCTCCTCTGGTCCGCCCTAGCAGCCTCCTCCTCCTCCTGTCCCGACTCCTCGGACGTGGCATTAGAACTGTTGATTTCCCACTGGTTCTTCACTACCCGATTTCCTTTGCAAGTAGAGGAGAGGGGGGAGACTTCTGTACCCTCTGCCGCGGAAGTCGTAGTTGCACAAGGCTGCGGTGGAGATTTGTTCAGGGAGCTAAAACACAAGGACGAGCTGAGACTGCAAGGTGTGTGTGCTGAAAGCTCAGTCGCTTCCGCCCCGTTGGTTCTGGTCTCTCGGCACTTTTCGTCAGTGTCTAGGCGCTGAAAGTCCCCTTCCCCAGGTGTTTGGTCCCCGTTCTCTCCACTTAATCCTTTGTTAAAGGTGACCCCAGACTTCGACCCATTTACCTTGCCATCCCCTGAGTATAGGACGCAAGAAGCCACTGAGTTCTCCATGGTCAGGGTTTATCTGGGCTGCTGTTCCCACTTACGGCTTATCAGTAATACAAAATCTCCCTGACTTTTGTTGTTCACGGTTGAGAGTTACTTTGGGGTTTCTTGCTTCACCTTCCTTTTCTGGCACACGGTCAAATCCAGTTTCCACACTGAGCTTTTACATACTGGTAGTTGTTCCCCTTGACTCTCTTCACCAGATCTGGGTGTGTCAAACTCTAGATGCACCCGCTGCTGAACTTTTGGACTTTAATACCTTCTTCATTATATTGCTCTTTATTTGCTGAGGAAGGCTCATTGGATCAGGTCTCTTCCCTAGGTGCTATTGCTTGAATTAATATACAGGAAAACTCTGAAGCTACAACCAGTTGTTGTTTTTTTGTTGTTTTTGTTTTTGTTTGGGGGGGGGAGGGGCGTTAATAGTTCTTTCTTTACTGAAGTGAGTTATCAAGGTGTGGTTATCAAGCCAGGACATGCATTTTCTTTTGGTGAGTCACTGTTTACCCACTTTATCACTTTTCATTTCATTTGACTTTCCTTCCATGCCATTTTTGGCAAATGCATGTCTAAAACAGGTAGGCATTGTAGAACAGAACTCATTTAGGATCTCAGCCTCTACTCATTGGAGATAGTCTCAGTAAGCTTTCATTGAATGCCTTTCTATTTGAGATTAGTGTTTATGAAAAGCCAACCAATATCCTTGTATTCTAGTAGAAATTAGTGTCCTGACCTATCAGCTGCTTTTGTTTTTTAATCCAGATGGTCAGCTGGACTCTAATATAGAGAAATGTAAGTCCATAATTCATTTGTTCTGTGGCTTTCCAAAAACAATTACTACAGGTATTTGCATGTAATCAGAATCCTTCCTTTTTCTCTTCCTTTGTTGGAGCATCAGGTGTTTCCCTGGGCTTCATCACTTCATGTACTTCTTGTCCCTGTTGGGGGAAAAAGTCAACAATGAAAATGCTTGAATAGGCATTTTTGCTAGGATTCCCAAGGGGGTGGCCCCTACTGTAATGAACTTCCACAGAACATTTTCAGCTTAGAACTGGATACATGACAGTATTAGAAAGCCCTAGGAAAAGAGATCATGAATTTCCTTGGATATCTCTTAAAACACTCTATTTGTACTAGCTGTTTTAGGTGAAATACTCTCTGGGGAACAGGATTTATAATTCAGAGGGACCTTAGTCTAGTCATTTTACAGATGAGGAAACTGAGGCCCAGAGAGGTGAAATGACCTGTGGAAAGTCTTACAGGTAGAAAGCAGTAATGTTAGAATTCAAAACCATGCAGTGACTCCAAATCCAGCCTTTTCCCCACTATGCCATGCTTGTTTCTGCTGAAATTTCAAGTTTATGTTAGTTCTCATTTCTATATCTATGTCCATTCAAAATCTCTGAGAAAATAAGAAGAGATATAGGAGTTTAATCAGCACAACAGGTAGAAACTATAGTAGATGCTCATTACTAAGAACCGAGGGCTGAACTATTGAGGTTATAGCTAACTTTCAACAACTAGTGGAAAGAGCAAGAAAACGGCTAAAAGACAGTTTCACACTGGATTCTTTATTAAAATGTCACATTTATTTCTTTGGTCTTTTAAACTCAGTTACTACAAGCAGTTTCCAAGAGAATTTGTTTTCAGATGATGTGTCTTAAATTGGCTTCCATGGACATCACATATTTAATACTCTCCAGAGGCCCCAAATTCTAACTCTCCGTTTAAATAGATCTTTCAGCAAAATCACTCCAAGAGTGTCCTCACTTTTCACAGTTGTTTTACAACTGGTGCAAACATGAAGGGAGTGGGGGAAAGAACCCACCTCATCCTACCTGAAGGGCAGATGTGGGCACCTGCATATGTATTGTAAACTAGAAGGAGATTATAACAACAAATTTTTTTTCCTAGATTTTCATTCAATCCTTGTAGTTCACTGAAGAAGAATGTAGATTTCCTCAGTCAAAGCACACATAAAGGTCCTTAACATGTCAATTCTTTGAGAAAGAGAATATTTCAAAGAATTTAATTTAATTTAATTTAACCTAAGAGAATCCAAGTTTGTCGCTCTAACGGCAAAGTATTGTGTGGTAAAGAAAAGTGTGGGGGCAGCTAGGTGGGGCAATAGATAGAGCACCAGCCCTGGAATCAGGAGGACCTGAGTTCAAGTTCGGTCTCAGACACATAACACTAGCTGTGTGGCCCTGGGCAAGTCACTTAACCCCATTGCCTAGCCAAGAAAAAAAAAGTGTCAGCATCTCAGATAAAATGGATTAAAATCATACTTACCCTTTTAATATCAATACTTTTCTTACTTTCAATTTAGGAAAGATAATGTCTCTCAAACCCTTCAATATCTGACTCCAACTTACCTTCCTAAGCTTACTAAGACATGGACCCCTTGGTCCAGTCAAACTGGTCATCTAGAAATCCTGCCTCAGACACTATCTGCGTTACCCTGGGCAAATCACTTGATCTGTTTGCCTCAGTTTTCTCATTTGTAAAATGGAGATAATAATAGCACCTACTTCTCAGGGTTTTTGTGAGGATAAAATAGGATATCTGTAAACTGCTTAGCACAGAGCCTAGCACATAGTATGCAATTAATAAATGTTTCCTTCCTTCTTCCTTCCTCCCTCTCCTCCTCCCTTCCTTCCTTCCTCATACCTTGCACTACCATTCCTAAAATCTATGTGTCTTGGTTCGGGTTGTCACCCATACTTGGAATGCACTTCCTTCTGGCTTCTCATAGAATCCCCTGGTTTCCCTGAAAGCCTATTTCAAATGCTACCTCCTACACGAAGCTTTTCCTGACTCCTCCCTCTCCCCATCTTTAGCTGCTAGTACCTCCCCACCAAAATGAACTTGTACTTATTTAGTATATACTTACATATTTACATGTTGTGCCCCACTATACAATGTAAGCTTCTTGAGAGCAGGGGCTGTTTTGTCTTTGTATTCCCAGTACCTAACACAGCAAGGGCAGCTAGATGGCCCAGTGGATAGAGTAACCTGGCCTGAAGACTTATCTTCCTGAGTTCAAATCTAGCGTCAGACATTTACTATCTGCCTGATCCTGGTCGAGTCACTTAACTTTGTTTGCCTCAGTTTCTCATTGGTACCATGAACTGGAGAAGGAAATGGCAAACCACTCCAATATCTTTGCCAATAGCATCTCAAATGGGGTCACAAAGAGTCAGACAGGAGTGAACAACAACAAACTTAACACAGCGTTTTTCACATAGTAACAGCTGAATAAATGTCTGTTGATAGATTGATTGATTGTCAGTCCCCAATCATATAATATAGTGGGCACCAAAATGAGTATGTCACTTTGTTCTGACCTTCTATACTGAAAAGACATCCATGTTAATCTTAAAATTTAGGAAGTCCAGTGCCCAAAGCTTGGTTTTTATCTGAAAGACTCTGGTTGTGCAAAGGGATGGTTTCTTACTATATTAGCTTTTTTTCCTCTTCCCCAAAAACATCCTCATCAACAAATATTTATAGACCACTTACTATGTGCAAAGTCCTGACCTCTTGACTACAATAATTTCAAGAACAGGAAACACCAATCTATGGTGTATGTAGGTAAAAGACATTACTTAGGAAAACAGAAAAACTCTTGAATGTTTATTCAGCTGCACAACTGCCTAATTTTGATGATTATGTTTCTACTTAATCACTATGATTTTCCATGATAGTTTTTTTTGTTCCTAGTGTGGTATTGTTATAAGGCATCCAGAAAGTTATTTCAATAAGCTATGACTTTGGAGAGAAAGTTATAAAATAATTTAAAACTTTCTAATACAACTTGAAAAATAATAAAATAATTTTGCAATAAAAATTGCACAATGTAACCATCTTATATGACACCAATCTTTAACATTTAATCCATGAAAAATTAATGGAAAATATCATAGACAAAAGAGGTGCTGATCTCCAGTTCTTTCCTTGACATTTGCCAATATCTTTTAAAACTTGATTTCTTAAAGTTTGCTTTTGACTGCAAAAACAAACAAAAAGAATCCTAATCTGATTATTGTGCATATCATGTTAGTGATTGAAAATATAATTTTATTGATTTCAGATCTAAGTTGCAGGAAATTTTATACAGAGAAAATGAGCTCAGAAACAGTATAGATAGAAGATGAAATCTTAATTATTTGGACAAAATCAGAGATATTGCTTTGACAATAAAGAAACATAAAAATGTATAATTATGAGTTTGTTTTCTTTTTTAAAGGAGGACATTTCATTTAGTGATGAAAAAAATTAATTAAAATAAAAATGCTTGCACTTTTTTTAAGTCTTTATTATCTGTATTTAAAGAAGTTTCTTTATTAAGTAATGAATTTTTGCATTGTTTTCCAAGTTTTTGTGGTGATGACTCTAGCATTGAACTAACCACACTTTTTCATCTGATCTTCATTGACCCTAGCATGTAAGTGGATTGGGATATGGCCTGTGGCCCCAGACCAGAAAAGAATTGTCTCAAGAAATAATAAAACAGTGACCTTGGCCTTATCAACACAGTGCTCTAATCAGCTGAGCAAATCAACAATTTATATGGCACCAGCACTCATAGTCCCAATCTCATTGAATATTTTTCCTTGCAAATCCAACTGAAATTGTTACTGTTCCCCAATATGTGGGTTTTTCTTTCAAGCATATTAGCATCTTGCAAACATGTATTAACAATTTTAAAAGGTAATGAACGCCCTGTCTTAAGACTAAGCACAGACTAAGAACTATATTGAGTAATCATTACTATATTATTTTTTTTAGAATCAGTATATATAAAAGGCAACAATTTTAAAGTACTGGAGATTGTATATCAGTTTTTACCTTCATAATGCTATTTTAATATGTGCTTTGCATCCCATTCAACTTCCTCTCTTCCTTTTCCCATTTATGTAACTAGTAAACCAGTACTAGAAGTCAGTTTTTGGGATTCCTGATTGGTCACCTGCTCTGCAGAAGTGTCCATCTCCTTTAATGGATTAAGATGAAGAAAAAGACAAAAAAACAGTTCAAAACCAATTCAAAGTGGTTTAAACAGCTTAAAACCAGTCAAAACAGTTCAAACTGGTTTACATCAGTTAAAACCTGTATAAAAAGTTCAAAATGGTTAAAACCAGTCAAAATGAGATCAAACCAGTCAAAACCTGCTCAGACCACCCTCAACTGGTTAAACCTGGCTAAAACTTGTCAAAACCTGTTGCAAACAGTTTAAACTGGTTGAAACCAGTCAAAACAGTTCAGACTGTTCGGAACAGATCAAAATCTATCAAAACAGGTTCATATCAGTTTAAACCAGTCAAAACTACTCGATTGAAACTGGTTAAAACTAGATCAAAGCTATCAAAAACCAGTTCAAACCAGTCTAAGCAGGTTAAAACCAGTCAAAGTCACTTAAAACCAGTTCAAATCAGGTTTAAAACAGGTTAAAACCAGTTTAAATCCCATAAACTGTTCAAACCAGTTTAGACCAGTTGAAATCAGTTAAAACCAGTTCAGACCATGTTTAAAACTAGTTAAACTAGTTCAAACAGTTTAAGCTGGTTAAAAAACAATCAAAACTAATTTGTTCCAGTTTAAACCAATTAAAACTGGTTCAAACCAGTCTAGACCAGTCAAAAACTCTCTAGATAAGATTGGAAATGTGGAAGAAATTGTGTGTGTGTGTGTGTGTGTGTGTGTGTGTGTGAGAGAGAGAGAGAGAGAGAGAGAGAGAGAGGGAGGGAGGGAGAGAGAGAGAGAGAGAGAGAGAGATTCTTATAAACAAGCACATTGTTTCCCAAAAACATTACATTTAGACTCTGTAAAGGTCAAGTGATTATGAACAGGGTATATTAGATTAAAGTAATGGAATTAAGGGCTGGAAGCAAATTGACTGGATTTATCCTTTATTTCAAGAAAGAAACTATTTGTA